TTTGAACCGCCCTCGTAATTGTTGTAGGTCCACAATTCAATTCAATCGAAGCATTTTACATTATCATCGATAATGTAATGTATAAAATGGAAAATATACTGAAAGCCGTCGATATCTTGTACAAGATCTTTCACGTTTTCAACGTAAAGTATCCAATTGGCTGTGAGCAGGTATGGCTGTTTATACAGAAATATATTTATGGCCGAACAACAACGTGGGATAAGAACGATAAATCGGTGATGAATCTAATAGATGAATTAGAGGCAGTTAATGTATAGTATTTTTTTTTAGTTAGTTACACATATAGTATTAACAGATTAATATGTATGTGGTTTGTTGTTAAGAAAAGATAAAACTGTGTAGTTTTAACTTCAGCATTTACATAGTATTAATTTCTTTCTTTACGTGAAAAGTTTATGACAGTTATTTTATCGTTCAAGATGTTCCGTTGCCATTTATGAGACAAGATTCCAAAATATTGACCAGTTTATCCGTCATTTTTCTGTATTGCATAAATTTCAGACGTACGATCGTTACATATGTATGCAAACTGCTTGTAACCGCGTTTTTCAAACTATCAAAGGTTTTAAAAGTCATTTGATTAAGAATCACGCGGAAGACAATCAATGTTTTTTCGATGCACGAATTCAGCCTACTGCTGATTTTTCAAGTACAGACGATAATGATAGCTGGGATTTCAATGTTTCTACTTCCAATTCTACATTTGTAATTGAAGATGAATTTCTTTTGAATTTAGATAACATTGAAGAGAATCTTGTTCATTTTAAAGAACGATTACGACATGAAAGTGCAAAGTTCGCGTCTACTTTTTATAATGAAACATCAATGAATAGGAGGCACGTACAAACAATTGTACAATCAAACGAACTCGTAGAGTGAAGTTCGATTGAGATTATGCCTGGTGTCTCGTCCGGATGGATAAACTATGTAGTCATGCTTTCATGCCCATATTATCAACAGAGTTCACAGTTATTATAGGAAAAAAGGGGGCGCTTCCGCTCTGTAGCGCCACGCACGGTCCTCGGCGCTGCGCGCGCGTGCAGCCTCATTTCTTCAAAGATCTAATTGTAAAGCAAATCGCCTTTAACATAGCGGGAGAGGAGGAGCTGTAAAGCTTGGGTGGGAAGATCCATCCGGACGAGACACCAGGCATAATCTCAATCGAACTTCACTCTACGAGTTCGTTTGATTGTACAATTATGCCGTGGTGTCTCGTCCGGATGGATAAACTATGTAGTTGTTTAAAGAAGGCGATTCTGCCGTTAACAAACAATTTATTATCCTCCTGTGGTATAGAATATACTTAATTTGTGATAAGCCTTATCTAGTCTTATGGCGCGCTTTTATTGTAGGGATAAACACAGAAAAAATTAATGCCCAATTACCTGGATCAAAAATAAAAATAAAAGGAAAAATGTAACCAGTAGCCTGAGAACGAAAATAAAAATGGAAGTAATCCTGTTTACGGTAACAAAACGGAATCGCTAAATTCCTCTGGGGTAATTATAGGCCGATTGTAAAAGGACGCAAAAACGCCAGACTCCCCGGACCAGCCTGCAGCTTTTATAATGAGGTCCGTAGAAACTCCTTCCTAGCAGCAAGCGAAGTAGAGGCGTGTCGAGTACTATGAGCTGAGAATATGTCAACCCGTATACCACACTCCTCTAAATCGCTACTAATCCAACGACTTATCGTTTGGACACCTACCGCCTTATGAGGTTTTACGCAAGCGATAAATAAGGAGTCACAGTCACTTGCACGCATATTTTTAGTCAGGCCTATATAGTGCTCTAACAGAGAGAGCACGCAAAGCTCCGGATGATTAACGAAACGAGAAAAGATAAGTAACGGTTGTGCACGACCGGGAGCTGACGTCTTAAGACGATCCGGAACTCGGATTATAAGTGCTGTGTATCCGCTCCGGGATATACTGGCACGTGGGTAACGGCGATAAATGATAATGAGACGTAGCAATAACTATAGTGTGGTTTATTATAACACGTGTGTGCTCATACTGCTGGGCCCACCGAGAGTGCCGTACCCGCGCAATCTTCGGAGCGGCTCCGATCGCGAAAACCCCCGCCGGGGCATACGTGACGTCAGAGGCCACGCTATTGTCACGCGCGTTTATCACGCGCATACATCACAATTCCTCCCCGGTTTTAAATAAGCGCTGCGCTTACATTCCACGCTTCGCGATTCTTTCTGAGCGGCGCGCCGGTTTTACAATTTGATCAGTGTGCCGTTTCATCGTTATCCCTGTATCGGTCTTGACCTCGAATGTCGATGGTGACAGCGCTTTGACGATTTCGGCTTCAATCCGTTTGCCGCCGGTTGTCCCATGATTGTCGATCATGACCGCGTCGCCGGGCTTGAGTACTACGTTCCGCGAATGCGGGCGAGCGGCTATCTGAGCCTGTTGTTTATCGTGCACCCTATCTCTCAAATTCGGTCTTAGTCGATCGAAACGCGTTCGGAGTTCTCGCTTGTAAAACAACCACGCTGGCGTTTTACCTGTTGTGCAGTGAGGTGTACTGCGATAATCGAACAAGAAACCGTTCACTGCACACCTCACCTCTTTCCCCCCTTGAACAATTTTCGATACTTTGTCCTTAAATGTGCCTACAAAGTTCTCCGCCGCACCATTGCTTGCTGGATGGTACGGCGGTGAAAAACCCTGCTTGACACCGTGCTTATTCAAAAAATCTTTAAAATCTGCTGATGCGAATTGTCTACCATTATCTGTGACTACATGATTTGGCAATCCGTGTCTCGCAAATAGAGTTTCGCATACATCAATTAATGCGCTCGCTTTTGTGTTTTTTCCAAATTTAATGACCTCCGGCCATTTTGAATGCGCGTCTACCACTACTAAGTACATATCGCCGTAAAACGGGCCTAAAAAATCTAAATGGATGCGGTCCCACGTTTTTTCTGGCCAAGGCCATGGCGTCAACGGCGCGTGTGGTGGCGTTTTTTGATTCTCTACACAGATTTTACAGCTTTTTGCTACGTTTTCGAGATCCGCATCAATATTCGGCCACCACACGTACGATCTCGCCCATGCCTTCATTTTTACGATCCCTAGATGTGATGCGTGAAATTCATTAACCAACGACGGCTGTAGTACTTCGGGTATGATTATTCTGTCGCCCCAGAACAAACAGCCTTCTTCTATTGAAATTTCATTTCTCTTAGTAACAAAACTGCGTTCACTTGCTGGTGAATTTTTACAACCGATTGGCCATCCTAACTTACAGTATTTCATTATCTTATTTAACAACTTGTCTTTTTTCGTTTCATCTACCACCGCTTGCCAGTCTAAACTAGTTATGCCTTCGTTGACATAATACATCGGCGTGAAATCTGAACCGAAAACATCTGTGTTATCTTTAATTGGTAAGCGCGACAATGCGTCGCAATTTCCGTTTTGCTCCGATTTTACAGTCTCAATTTTGTATCTGAACCCCGACAAAAAATATGCCCAGCGCTGCAGCCTAGATGCTGCTGTTAGCGGTATGCCTCGTTTCGGCCCGAAAATTATTTCTAATGGCTTATGGTCGGTGCGTAGTATTATATCTTGGCCGTATACAAAATCGTAAAATTTCATAAAGCCGAAAACAATTGCGCTTGCCTCCTTGTCTATTATTGCCCGATTTCTTTCTTTCTTTGGAATTAGTTTTGACGCGAACGCGATTGGTTTTTCTAAGCCATTTTTGTATTTATGTGATAATATCGCTGATAGCCCGTAGTCCGACGCGTCACACGCTAATACTAACTGTTCCTTTGGATCATAGTGCGCGAGTACTCTTGGTGAGATCATTTCGTTTTTTACCCAGCAGAAAGCTTCCTCACATTCCTTATTCCATTCAAATTTTTCTTTATTAGCACAGTCAAAAAGTGGCTTTAGTTTGTCAGCCCTATGTTCTAAAAATCTTGCGTAAAAATTAATAAGGCCCAGGAATGAAGCAAGCATTTTGCTGTTTTCTGGTCGCGGCGCTGCGTACATCGCTTTTACTTTGGATTTGGCCTTGTGTAGGCCGTCTCTATCTATCACGAACCCTAATACTTCTATGCGGTTTTTGAAAAAATCACATTTATTTTTATTTAAACGCAAACCCCGCTCTTCCAATTTTTTACATACCATGCGCAAATTTTCCATATGTTCTTCGTTTGTAGCTCCTGTTACAAAAATGTTATCAATATAAGCAATCGTATTCGGGATTCCTTGCAAACACTCATCCATAATCTGCTGAAATTCGCCCGGTGCTGGTGCTGTACCTTCTGTCATTTTCGTATACCTAAACAGTCCTACGTGAGTCGTGATCGTCAGTAAGTTCCGTGATTCGTTATCTACCGGGACTTGCATGTACGCGTGTGGGCAGTCAAGTTGGGTATATGTCAACCCCTTCTGTAATACATTAAAAATGTCTTCAATTTTTGGAAATGGTCGCTTAGGGCATTCGATATGCGGGTTGATCGTGACTTTGAAATCCCCGCAAATTCTAACCTTTCCTTCCGCTTTCAGGACAGGAACTATGGGTGTAGCCCATTCGCTTGACTCTACTCGTTCTAAATGACCTAATGATACTAATCTTTCGATTTCACGCTCAATTTTCTCTTTCAATGCGAACGGCGCGTGCCTGGGTCGTAGTGCGATCGGTTTTGTGTCTTTTTTCAAATGTAATTTGATTTCCCTTCTATTATATAAACCGGGTGTGGTCCCAAAAAGTTCTTTGAACTCTGCTAATATTTTTTCTTTAGCGTTCTCTACGTCAAGTTTTAATAATGTGTTTTTATTATTTTTTACAGCAGTATCTGAAAATTTTAATGGCCATAGCCCGAATTCCGCTAACCACTGTCTTCCGATTAACGGTGGTCCGTTTCCCCGCAAAACTAAACAATTTAACCTTGCTTTCTTATGTTTTATTTTGACTTTCAAATTCTTTAGTTGGCCAAGTGGCTTCATAGCACTTTGTTCATAGTTAACTAAATTTGTATCTGTTTTGTCCATTTTGCACTCTTTAAAGTATTTATTTATACATCTTTCAGATACTACTGTAAAATACGTACCTGTATCAATTTCCATCGACACTACTTTACCATTAATTTCTACGTCTAGGAATTCTGGATCAGCCTTAATTAAATTGTAACAGCAGTTTGCGGTATCTACTTTCGCTTTAATCGAAAAAAATTCCGCGGTATTATTCGTTGTCTCGTCGTTGTCGTCATCTGAATTCGGCTCCGCTTCTTCTTTTAGGAACTTGTTAGACGTCTTTTCTTTGCTGGATCGGCACGCCCTCTGTAAGTGTCCTCTCTTTCCGCAGCCATCGCAGGTCGCCCCTCTGTATCTGCATTTAACTGCCCAATGTCCCGCTTTACCGCAGCAGTAGCACTTCCTCTCGTTCGGGTCCTTTTCGTTCTGAGTTTGGCGGTTTTTTTTATCATTTCGAGCATTCCATTTTCCTCTGGCCTTGTACTTGGAATTGCGTTCCATGGCAAATACCTCTTCTTTGTTGCCACTTTTTGTCAATGATTTTTCGGCGCCTGCGGCGTTTTTTACAGCGCTCTCCTGTGCGAGAGCCTCCTTCAAAGCATTGTCGAATTTCAAGTTTGTTATTTTGAACAATTCAATTCTCGTGTTTTCGTCGTGAACTCCGCAGACAAACTGGTCACGGAGGGCGTCGTCGAGATTTTCGAAATCACAGTGCCGTGACAATTTCCTCAGCCTCGCTGCAAACTCGGCTATCGGCTCATTTTCGCCTTGCTTTGCATTATTAAACTTACATCGCTCCATCACAATTGATGGTTTTGGACTGATGTGATCAGCCATAAGCTTAACCAGGTCCGCGTAGTCTTTCGTTGCCGGCTTAGCTGGAACGCATAAATTCCTGAACAACATGTAGGCGTCTTCGTCCACGCTTGTCAGTAACATTGCAGTTTTCATATCCTCCTCGATCTTCTTCAATTTAAAATGCAATTCGAGTCTCTCCGTGAATGCCTCCCAATCGTCAGTGTTTAACTTGAATTCGATTTTCGAGTTTCCTGCCATGTCGTCGTCGTCTGAGCTGGCGACTGCGTTGCTTGAACTGTCCGACGCGTTATCTCTCGAGGAACCACTTCCTGAATTACCTGCTGTGTCAAAACTATCTGAACTGTCGGTTTCTGTATTACCGATTTCTTCCGATTTTACTTTTTCACTTTCTTTCCGCACTAAACTAACTAGTTTTCCTCTCAAACTGTCGCGTTTATCGGCGTCACTACACTCAACACCGCGTTTCCTTAACTCTGCGATTAATTCCGGTTTCAGCAACTGCTGCGCCTTTCCGGTCGATAGAATCGGCTCCGAATTTTTTCTATCGGTCCCGTTTTCCTTTTTTGTACCACTCATCTATCGATGTCGCTATGAGCTACTGCTCGTTGTTCTGTGTGGTCTTGTGGTCGACCGCGCGCCTCGTGTCTGCGCCCCACTTTCTGTTCGGCTTTCCCGCCGAAATTTCCTTTTGCGAATACGCACCTGAGCGCTTAATGACTCTCCTGTGCTCAGGTGTCACCCCCACACTTCCTGGTGCTTCGTCTAGTACCCTTCAGTGATGCACAATTACCCGATGCGTTGGTTTTCCTCTGATTCCCAACCGGCTCGGCGTCCACGTGGCCGGTCGTTTCCGCTCTCGTCTTCCACCGCTCGTTTACCTCGTGACTTGTATCCTCGTCGCCAGTGCTGTGTATCCGCTCCGGGATATACTGGCACGTGGGTAACGGCGATAAATGATAATGAGACGTAGCAATAACTATAGTGTGGTTTATTATAACACGTGTGTGCTCATACTGCTGGGCCCACCGAGAGTGCCGTACCCGCGCAATCTTCGGAGCGGCTCCGATCGCGAAAACCCCCGCCGGGGCATACGTGACGTCAGAGGCCACGCTATTGTCACGCGCGTTTATCACGCGCATACATCACAATAAGCCTATCATTAGAGAATGAGATCTGTGACATTTTAATAGCGGTAAGAGTCTGGGCGCGTTGTCCTGATCCTAATGCTAGGAGAAGCACAAGTTTTTTGGTAATAGTACTTAATGGTAGAGTGTCATATGGGAAAAGTGTTGCTAATTTTGCGATTACGGGTGCCGGATCCCAAATAAAGTCATAACGGGGCCTCTGCGGCTTAATGACACTAGCACCCTTACAGAAACGCTTAACGAGGGGGTGATTACCGACGGCTTTATCGGACATGAGAGAGATTGCTGAGCGCATAGTGTTAAGAGATGAGTACGAGTTCATGTGCTGGAGTTCCTGCGTTAGGAACTCGAGTACCCGGTCAATCCCCGCGGAAAAAGGATGGATTTCTCGGTCCTGGCAGAATCTCCACCAGCCTCGAAGGGGGTCAGAGTATTGCCTGATTGTGGCTGAAGAGAGTGAAGCTAGAAGAGTCTCTAGTGCTGCAGATGGTACCGCCTGGTGCTGGAAGGCCTCCCTGATAATTTCCCTGCCGCCAGGGAAAGGTTTCTCCACTCTGGGTGTTGGTTCCTGAAGGGGGAAGATAATAGTGAGAGGGCGGTAAGATAACAGACTCGGAGACCAAAAGACGAAGGAACATGGGAAACCATGATTGTGAAGGCCACCACGGCACAACTAGAGTTCCTGTTGCCTTTTCGTCTATTATTTTACGCAGAATCCTGGGGATCAGGATAAACGGAGGGAAGGCATAAATATAAAACCGGTGCCAGGACAGTGTAAACGCGTCAATTGCCCATGACCCTGGATCGGGGAACCAAGAGACATAAATTTCACTTTTAGCGTTTGTGGCGGCCTACGGCAGCCACAGGCGCCGGGCCCCCAGCAACCACGCGGTCGCGCGCACCTGACGCTTAGCACAGGGCGCCCGGCCCCCAACATAAGCGCCTGGCGCTAGCCCCACGCTGGGCGGCCGCGCTAGTTCGCGGCGCCGCCGCTGCGTGGCGGATTCTCTCGGGAGTGAAATTTAGTGACTACCAGTATATAAGGGAGGAAAATGCGAGCATTTTCACTTCACTTCGGCGCTCAGTCGCCACGATATAAGCGCGTAGCCGCTGTTCCTTGCGCCCTAGACGCATACAAAGCGCTGAGTCGCTCTCCTTCGGGAATATAAGCACTGAGTCGCTCTACGTCGGTTCTATAAGCGCTGAGTCGCTCTCCTTCGGGAATATAAGCGCTGAGTCGCTCTACTTCAATTCTACAAGCCCTGAGTCGCTCCACTTCAATTTTATAAGCGCTGAGTCGCTCTACTCGTGCGCTCAAGCCGCACCACAAGCGCTAGATCGCTTCACTTCCAGGCGCCATGGTTTCGCCAACAAAGCGTAAATCGCTGCATCGTGAGTGGAGATCTGCGTAAAACGCATAGACTCAAAGCGACCTATTTCAGTTGGAATACTAAATCGGTATTTTCTTTCTAGACACTGTTTCCAGGAATAAGAGATCGCGACCCTGGAAATCCGAACGGCCACTTACGCCAAGGCAGGACGACTGGCTACCCGAACAACGAAAGACGCGGCCTATTCCCCTGGACCAGTACCTAAAACGGCGACGAACACACGACGAGTCTAAGAAGGTTCCGGCTCCCCGATCTCTCTCGCCGGTTCCTCGGACTCCCTCTCCGATTCCTCGGACTCCCTCGCCGATTCCTCGGACTCCCTCGCCGATTCCTCGGACTCCCTCGTCGATTCCCCGGACTCCAATTCCGGTCCCACGGACCCCATCTCCGGTTCGACGGACTCCTTCACCGGCTCCCGTCGAAAAACCAAGCACGCCACGGACGCCTTGGCCCGTTCCCGTCTGTGGAACCCCAAAAAACAGGAGGCCTCTCACGCCTCGAGTCGTCCTGTCACCATCAGACTACGTGGAGAATATTCCGCCAAAGTCTGTCCGTAGTCTGATGACGCAGACCGTGCCAACACTGTGTGACTTCGGCACCCAGACCGATCCGATCCTCATACCGAAACCCGCTACACCGACACCGCTAATCCTTAAGCGCGACGCGTTCACACAAACCAAGAAACGCGGCGGTCAGGCTCGAAATAGCCCGTATTACCTCTATACTCCTCGACGAATGTAACCTATATACCAGATTATATTCCTTTAATATATTCCTCAAATATATCCTGAGCTATTATAACCAAAGAAAAAGAGTTGAAAAATTAATTTCCTCCCTTGCGATCCACTTCCTTGGGCGTTCCTAAAATAGAGTTAAGCGGAGTAAGCCCCATAGCGTTAATTACAGACGCGAACAAATCAATGTCAAAAGGACCAAATCTCTTATCAATTATAGTAAAAGCCTGTTCTGACAATGACCACTCGGTGTCAGTGTCAGATACCCTTGACTCGGAATCTGCAATGACATTGTCAATTGAGGCAATATATGAAGCGAAGAGATAAATATTGCGGTCTTCACACCATCTCCACATGTCTCTAGCGATATCCGACAAAATGGGACATTGCACTGAACCAAACCTGTTTACATATGATAGCGCGGTAGTGTTATCTATGCGCAAAAGAATATTACAATCATGGAAATTTGATGCAAAACATTTTAAAGCATAAAATGCGGCCTTTAATTCCAAAGCTTGATGTGAAGAGATTTGTCCTCGGTTGTCCACCAACCGTGTGTGCGTTGATTCCCGCAAGAAGCTCCCCAGCCCGTTAGGGATGCATCTGAGAAGATCTCACGGGAATAAGGACCTGAGTTGATGTTATTACACTGATTAACATTAGAGAATATTCGGATACACCATTTAAAGTCCTCCTGCAGATAGGCCGGAATTAGCATTTGTTTGCTATAATTCTCAGAATGAGTATCAAGGGCTAGAAATTTCTCCCTTTCAAATCTTTTTGTATACAGTAGACCATATTTAACTGCAGGGCAAACTGAAATGAGGGATCCGATCATGCTTGCAAACTCCCTTTATAGAGCATTGAGACCTTCGTGACATGTCTCCTGTCAAAAAACGCTAGAAGTTTGCTTCTTCTGTCGGGAGGAATGGCAACCGATTGGTGTTTTGAATCGAAAATAAAGCCTAGATATCTGCACCTACAGGAAGGATTGAGCTGGGACTTATCATAATTAATTAGGAAGCCCAGGTATCTAAGTAGATTTAAAGAGGCGTTAACGTTCCTTTGGCATTCCTCCACTGTATCCCCTAGGAGAAGGAAATCGTCTAAATATGTGACCGATTGGAAACCCTTTTCGCGTAACACCCTGAATACGGGGCGTATAATCTTAGTAAAAATATAAGGGGCCGTAGACAGGCCGAAGGGTAAAGCCGTAAACTCGTACAGCACATTGTTCCACTGAAAACGAAGGAATTTTCTGTGAGAAGAGTGAACTGGTACGAGCAAATATGCGTCCTCAAGGTCTATTGACGCCATTTTACAGTCTGGGGTCATAAGACGGATCACTGTGCGCCAATCCTCCATTTTGAAATGCGGAGGAGAGATGTACAAGTTGAGGTCTCTCAAGTTTAAAATAAACCGCATTCCTCCTGATGGTTTTCTTACAAGAAAAAAGGAGGACAAGAACTGATCGTCTAAAGGGTTGGCGATAACTAAGGCTCCCTTCCTAAGCAAGCGCTCGACCTCCATTGTACAGTGCTCTAACTCAGTTGGAGACAAAGATGGTTCTCGTAAGGAAATACGAGGTGGAGGTAGTGTAAGGAAGGGGATTCTGTAGCCCTCTATCGCCTCTATTACTATAGGATCTGACGTTACCTCTCTCCATTTATCCGCGAAGTGGATAGGCTAGTCTGCCTGCTGATTCCGATGAATCTAGTGTCGGGCCCGGGCTCTGGATCGGGATGTCGATCTCCTGTTGCGGCTCGGCTGGAAAGCGCCCCTCCTCGAGTGGTGAGCCGATGAGGTCTTGCGAAGAGGGGGCTTCGAGTTTCCCTGCGTTCTTTGTACATCACGCGAGGGAAAACTTTGCTTTGTTTGATGAGTTGATGCTTGACGAGTCTGTTGACCTCGTGGTTGATGAGCTATTTTAGCCATCCTGCGAGCGACCTTTTCCACTGATTGGGCCGCACTGATCTCCTTTACGAAGTTGTTACCAAATAAGGTGTCGTCAATAAGGGCGGAGTCAGATACGGTTTTTCCCAAGAAATTTAGCGACGGCACGATGAAGGCCCTTCTCGTCTGAGACAGTCGGAAATGGTGATCCGCCAGTAAACGGATACCGTCTGCATTCTTGCTGATGGCAGTTTTACTTTCTGTCGATGTTCGGAGATGCTCGAGTTTCGAGATTTCCGAGAGACCCGAACCAAGCGCATTGAGCGCGGCTCCTACCTGCAGCTGAGAAGCCGTCTGGTGCTTGTCTCTAGCGACGACTGTAGCACCCAGGTTGGAAAGAATTTCCTTATTTACCTTTGGCGGACTGAGAAAAGCTAGGTCCCCCCGCGGTTCGTGCTTAGTAAGGAGGTTATTTCTTAAATCTTCTTTAAGACCCGAGCGTACCTCGGATTTTGTCGTGTTAAGGATGATTGACGACCATGATGCCGTAGCGGGTTGCTGAGTCTGTTCGCCGAACAGCTCTAGGATGAGTATGTCTGACTCGGACCCCGCCTCGCTAGGCCTATTTACCTCATTCGTCGCTGTAACCACCGGATCCTCGAAGGTAACAGTATTATTTCCTACCTGAGTACCTGATAGGGGGGCATTTTCTGGGTCGGCGCCCTGGCCATTAGGCGCTGTCTGCTCGCACGCAGGGACGGATACCTCGCCGGGTCCGTCCTGAGAAAACGCAATGTCCTCAGATGGGACAAGACTCGCCGGTCTTTGAATATCCTCCGACACCTCGCCGGGTGTAGGGGACTTGCGATGCTTCATGTATTTAAAGAACTCGCTCAAACTCTGTATGAGTCTGTCCCGAGACCTCGAGCGATGCACGTCGAGGGGCTCGTCGAAGGTGAGCGAGACAGGTTAGATCTCGAACGCGACCGTCTATTGCGAGATTTTCCACGATGCTTATGTCTGCGTCGTCCTGATGAGCTCGGTGATCGGGATCGCTTATGCTTCGGCATGTTAAAACTAACGATGAATAAGAAGAAAAGGAATTTAAGTAACACACTATAATGAGCTCTGCTGACTTTCTGGGAACAGAAAACACAATGAGGCTGCACGCGCGCGCAGCGCCGGGGACCGTGCGTGGCGCTACAGAGCGGAAGCGCCCCCTTTTTTCCTATAATAACTGTGAACTCTGTTGATAATATGGGCATGAAAGCATGACTACATAGTTTATACATCCGGACGAGACACCACGGCATAATTATCGATTCTACACGTACATTTATTAAGAATGTAATATTTTTATATCTAAAGCCAACTGTTTTATCTTTTCTTAACAACGTGGACGATAAGCGTAAAATAGAGAAAGTCTTAAACTTATTCCAAAACCCATTTGTATCATTCGATTCTGAGTACAAACGAGTTAAATACTTTAAAGATCTGGGTACCTTAATAGAACCACAATAGTATATAATTGGTTAACAAAGTATATAGGGAAAATGGTTGATTCAAATTATGTAATTGTATTATACCTACAAATGTGACGGGTAAATATGTATCTGTAAAATTAGTTCTACAAAAATTATTTGGTATACCTAATTTCTTACAACAAATTTTAAATTACATGCAAAGCTTATTAATGGAATCGAATGGTATTTCGAATACAGTTCAGGCTGAATCATACAAAATATTACAAGAAAAGTATCCAGGTAGAATAATTATTCCTCTCATATTTTATTATGATGAGTTTGAGGTGAATGATCCACTTGGCTCTCACACAGGCACTCATAAAATTGGTGCAGTGTATTATTCTTTGCCATGTATACCTCCAAATGTCCAGTCTCATCTGATCAATATACAAGTTGCGCTATTATTTAACAGTAACGATCGAAAAGAGTTTGGAAATAGAAATACCTTTTTACCGCTTATAAAGAAATTACAATTTCTACATATGGTACTTATCACGAGACACGGTAGTGACTCGCGCCAAGTGTAAGCGTAGCTAGTACACGCGTGCGAGACCGACCGTGTAAGTTTACGCGAGTACACAAGTTGACGGGCCCTCAGATTTTCGGATCTCAACAACGGCTGATCCGACGAAATTGAGACTGCGCTTAATCGATAGCTTGGGTACGATTTGCATAATAAAAGAGTTTTTACTTTTCTCCTACGTGCCCCAGGAGTGGAGGTATTGCAATGCAAAGTCAGTTTTGTGAAATTTTGGATTAAGAAACATCTTTGTCGTCCTCGTCCTCGTCCTCGTCCTCGTCCCGGTCGTCGTCGTCGTCGTCG